TATATATATACATAAATCTTATCATCAAACTACAGTTCGTTCACAGATATAGTCATTAGGATGGAGTCAGTGAGCTACTAGTGGAATAACACTGGCAGCTAAAGCCATCTGTGGTGACCATATGGTTTTCCTGTGGCACCCTGCACTGATCTGCCAAGTAACTGAGTAAATATCTGTAACACTGCCATCTTTTTATGTCAGTCCTATAAATTCTACAGGGATTTTCTACTTTTTGTCAGTATATTTTATTGTTTTTATTTTATTTTTTCAGAGTTCCAGTTGTAGATTTAGGGTCTTCTTACTTGAAACATGTCTCTGACTTTCTGTTTGGGTAAATTCACATTGAGTTTGTGGAGCAGCTGGTGAACCTCTCCGATGCTCAAGGTGCCATCTCCGTTTTTGTCAGCCTCAGAGAAAGTCTGCCGTAACCACGTGCACTTGCAGTTAAGGCTAATTTACAGACTTAATGTAAAGTTTTTTTTTAATGCCCAATACTTTAAACACACTCAAGGATATTGGTCACGGGTGCGCTGCCTGCGGGCCAAACTGTCTTCATCACTGATTCCAGCCATCAGGTACTTCAGCCCAGTGATCCAGGTGCGAGCGTCCTCTGCGTTGGTGGAGACCAGGTCCAGGGACTTCACTCGAGCTCCATAATAAATACTGAAGCAACAGTTTGGGTTGAAACGATTTTCTGCGTACCGTCTGAAGATCTCAGACTTTTTCCCCTCACAAACTTCGTGGATGGAATCAATAGAAACTGAAGCAAGAAAAGATAAAAGGCCATTTTGTAAAAATTAAAAATTAAAAAAWTTAAAAAGTTTACAGCAATCACCTGTATTAATAGACTGATTTGATTTTTTATTAAATTCTTAGGTTACATCATCAGAAAAATGTTTTACCTTTATTTTCCAATCTATTTGAATTACAAAAACTAAACATCTTCAGAAATTGTGTGCAACTATTCTTTTGTCTGTGCTTATTTTATTTATATACCTTTTAAAATAAATTTGTGTGCTCCCTTTTTAACAAAAGAATATATACCTTTGTGGTTCTGTGGTGCTTTGTTTGTGAGTGTTTTTTAACATGCAGTAAACCTGTCAGAGAACAAACAGATGGAAATCTTAACTAGTACATCTGATAGATTAAGGGTTGAAGTGCAGATATTAGTTAAAGTCTGTTTTACAAAAGAAATTCAGAGCATGTTTTTGATAGTGTCTACAACATTTACTTAACTTTTCATCATTTCACCAGTGTGAACTCTTACTAAACTGCAATGTCACAAAACCTTTACATGCAAATTTGACTTGGAAGTGAATAGTTGAGTAATTGCATGATAAAATAAGTAAAGGCTCCCTGTAAGAGTCAGGATATTCTTTTTAACCTGGTATCAGAATTGTCAAGAAACAGCTGGTTTAAATGATTGTTTCTAACATTACCTAATGCTCAACTTAGATTTATTTTACCACAAGCTCTTAGTTCTGCTCAAACCAAAAGTCTTCACAAGATCAGTGCTTCACAAATTGGGACTGGGAGTCAAGTTTAAAACAAATCCAACCACAAGTGATGAAAACATCTTCGTGTATTACATTATGTCAGAGTCCGGGTTTCTTACTTTTGGCTTTGTCGTGCTTTTTGGAAGGCCGCCAGCGGATGCAGGACTTGTGCTCATCCAGGTAAAAAAAGCGGACCAGTCCTTTTTTCTTCCCCTTCAGCTTGGTCATCTGAGTGCCGGTCTGCATGGTGCACATACATCTCTCCACTTCGCAGGAACACAGAAAGATATATTATTTGGTGATTGTTACATATTAAACTCATAATAAAAAAGCATAGTTATTAATATATAGCACATGTGGAAATGTTTGTGTACCATTTTATCAAGTATCCAAGAGAAACAGCACCATAATGGGCAACATTTCCATTATGATGCCATGATTTTTGCATTAAAGATAAAAGAGCAATGATAGAGTTCACAAACAGATATTTAGCACTATCTAAGATTATGAGTTGCATGCATTGTATAAATTTAAATATCTGTTTGTGTCACATTATTATTATATTATTAAGATACATTCATCAAGGACAACATAAATAACTAAACACTGCAAAACCACATCCTTATTTAAAATGACCTTTCCACATCCAAATGAATAATTCAGACTGAATTTATTGATTTATTTTAGAAGCTTGAGTGGACTATTTGGCCAACACAAGAAAAGCACAAAACAACACTTTCTCACAGTTTTCAGACCTTTGTGAAGGCATTGTTTCTGTGTGCAGGTAACCTTTGTTTGTAATCTGAAGCTCAGGTTCATGTGACGCAACCTGGCACATCATTCAGGCTAATCCTCAAGGATTGTCTACTGTCCATATGCTCATTATCTGCTTCTATGCTCTTCTCTTCTGTTGTCTCCACGACTCAACCACTTTACAAGACAATTTATTATAGTTTTCAGTTTTAATTTGCAGCAGATTAAAAAAAAGTGATGTTTGTTACTGATATTAGTGTGTCTTACCTATCTGACCCAGTCTCCATTTGGGCTGTGCAACTATGCTGCCACCAATCCAGAAAAACTCCTCTGCCAGTCTGGAGACGGATGCTTTCTGCCAAAGCTTTGGCGAGCTCATAATGGAGTGGGAGGGTGAATTCAGGGGTCCTGAGGCCTGCTTGGCCTCACCGAGGGGCCGCTTAGGCAATGAAGGGGAAAACATCCCAGATGGAATAGATCCCAAAGACTGAAAGGTGGTCTTCTTAGGAGAGATGGAGGATGCTGGTGGACTGCTGCTCGGCCCCTGAGACTGTGGTGCCATTGCTGGGCTGATGCTCATCCCTGACCCGTTCATTTGGCTCCAGCTCTCCTGTCCCATTCACTCAACGTGAACACCCACCTTCTGCCTCGCTCTGCTGGGCACCTCAGAAAAGTTTCACAGCTTGTCTCAGTATCATCAAATCCTCGTGTTGTCATCAAAACCTTCCCGCATCAGAACCATCTTCTCGCCCTGAAGGTCCATTCTCTGTCCTCTTGAGTCCAATCATCCAATCAGGCCTGACTTTACTTTATTGCCGTGCTCACAGAAGGCTCTCAGTGAGGAAGTGTGCAACTTGTTTGAGTCACTAAATCTTCCTCAAGCTGTAATCCTGCAGTGAGTCTTCAGCCTTGCTTTCATGGAGGGATTTTCTCTGCTGCAACCAGTAAGCCTCTGAGGAAACAGAGTGGAGTAGGAAGGCTTTAAATGTTTATTTTACTACAAATGTGGGAGTTATAACCCTTTACAAAATTATAAGAGGTAAACTAGATTTCATAAACTATCCAATGTAGGATGATTTAAGGTTGGACTCCTGATTGTAAACAAGGGGTCCTGACAGTGGAGTCTGTCTCCCTCTGGAGTTCACAATAAATACTTACACCTCTTCAAGGGTCAATAGTGATAAAAAGACATGAAACTGCCAGTTGTACACGGGAATTTAAGTAACTTCAAACACTGTGGCACAAAGTTTACACGTGTAGTCCACACTTGTCTCATTTTGAACACGTATGGAGCATCAGTGAGAGACATTTGTGCTGATGTCTTTTTTCTTGTTGAGTCATTTATTTTTATCTTTCACTGTATGTGGCTTAGTTTTCATGAATTGTCTAGTTTTTTTTATATAATTTGTAATGTTTAATTTTTAGTTTGATTTTCCACTAGAAGTTATCCACAGTTGTTTCTGGCTTCTTTCATAACACCTGTTTTTGTAAGTGGTCGGAACACTTGCTATAATTTTTTAAATCACCTCTTTAAATTCTTAATATCTGTGCAGATTTTCCTCAGCTCTTGGTCAGATCCTCCCGCTTGCTCATGTTCCTGTCTCATTCTGCTGTTTTTGGTTGCCAGGGTTATGTGTCTACTTTCTGCCTGTCTATTTATTTATTTATTTATTTATTTATTTATTTATTTATTTATTTATTTATTTATTTATTTTCCATTTTTCTATACAAAAGAGGCTTTCGTCTCATGCACAAAGGTGCAATTTGGAGCAAAAACAAATGTAGGATTAGACTCAAGAATGAGGGAAAGAGAGTGGTTTGCATGAGTTCAGCAACAACAACAACAACAAAATATCCAATGAAGTTTGGAATTTTCCAGTTTGAAGTGAGTCAGCTCTTTATATGAGTTTGTAGGAAAAATGTGCATTGTTCAAAATGGTATCTCTGAATAAACAGGAATCCACTTGGATTTCTTCTTAAAACTTTATTCTCAATCTTCAGGTCCTGCATCAGGTTCATACAGCAAATGCAGCGCAGGCCTCAACTTAAGATCTTGAGCTAAATCAAAACAAAACACAGCAGCCCTGCTCTAAGCAGAGACTCTGCAACACACTGACAACTTCCTTCTACTATAATAATGAATTAATATGAGAGGCCCTTTAGGCCATAATTCAAACTTGATCTTTGATTTATTTTTTTTTTTATATGTGAGAGCAAGTTTGAATTATGTCCTAAAGGGTCTCTCATAAATGTTCATCTCTTCCTGGTTACACCCCTGGAGGTGTTGTTACCTTTTATGTCAGACGTCAGAACGTAACTCATTTTTGTTTAGGCTAAAAGAAAGAACACATGATAAGACACACRCCAACTCTTTGTCTGCTGAAATGACAAGAAAGTATAAAATACAATACTGCATCTAATAGTCAATTAATCAGTTACAAAATTTCCTTCAAGTTGTAAAACATCCTAAAAACAGGAAAATAAGTTCAGTCACCTTTAAACAACCAAACAACAACAAACTCTTAGGACAGACCATGTCCTAAATGACTGTTGACCATACAGGAAAAAAAAACTGTAAGCACATTTTAGATTTCTTTGTATATTTAAAATTAGAGGCTTCCTGATACCAGGTTTTCTCAAACAGGTTACAAGTACTTCAGTTTAGGCAGATAACAAGTACTGTTACTGAGTACAGATATCGAGTACTTACTGAGCTAGAACTTAAACACTACATACTGACTTTGAAACACATTTCTTTCATTTAGAATAAAGTGTCTTTCATTCCATAGGCCTACAGCACCTCTGACTGGATCAAATCAAATATAGTGTGATATATACTGCTGTAAAATTTTAAAATAAATAAAAATAATAAATAAGATACTCTTTCAACTTGTATACATTTCCTAAACATGGAACTGACAAACTTTTCACTTGAAATGACTGTAACATGCAATTAAGTATCAAATCTGGTACTGATACCGGTATTTGTTTCGAGYTTTGAGACATTTTAGTTGAATGAGTACAACTTGTAAAAATGCTAAAATAAAAAATCAGTACAAACTGACGAAAATAATTTCTACTTGTATTCTTGTATTTGTTCAGGTTTCACACAAATGAACAAGAGTTCAGCTTTTGTTGCCATTTAGGAACYTGTTTTCTCAGGGAAGCTGCAAATAAACCAAAAGAAACAGAGTAGCACTGTTTTAGAATTTAATGGGTATTATACACATCTTATGTAGGAAAAAAACTAAAACATTAAAACAACAGGCAAGTGAAAACCCACTTTCAAACCAAATTACAACAGCATCGGCTAACAAAAAGGATACTGCTATTACACTGTACTCAACAAATACTGAGCGAGGGCATCATAATCATAAGACATAGGAGTGTTTTAT